AGCCTGGATCAATGTCAGAAAGTCCCCCTTAAATAGCGTGGGGCCGTTGTAACTTTTGCACTCGCTCTCGCTCTCTCACTCACTCGCTTGAATACAATACAGCTGTTGTGTTCCCTTCTGTGAGTCTTTTCTCTCCGACACTAGGCACTGGAGAGGGTCAGCAGCAGGTACCTCAGATTGACGAATCAGAAGATATAACACTAACATCCACCGCTCCGGAGAACCGCCTTTAATTGTTGCTCAAGAAGGTGGTATGATGGTACTTAGCCTCTGACTGGACTGACAGTCATGTTAGCATGTTGCCATCAGTGTTCCACTTTCCAGGGTGGGTCGAGTTGACCGGTCGCTTCAGTGGTTGTTTCGGCAGAAAAGGTCGGAATATTAGATTTGTCAGTTAGAGAGTGAAGAACCGCCGTATTTACAGTCGCTTTGGTGGATTACAACTAACTTTGTTGCCGCTGGCTGAGGGTACCCTGAAACTGGTTCAGGAAAGGTGCCGTGTCGTTCGGTGAGATAGTGATGAAGTCAAGATCGTATCAGCATTGTTACTAGGATTTTTCAAGACGCAGTCCGCATACAAAGAGGCTAAATAAGCGGTTCAATTTGCTGGTACCTGCATTCGGAATGTATTTATGGAGGTTGGGAAACTTGACTCGCCTCTGCGAGCAAAGCGAACGACTCCTGGCTCGGAGTTGTCCGTTTTCTTTGAACATCGAGAAGAACGTACCTGTCATTACCATGTTACTCTCTTTGTTGTGTCTCTGAACAGACAAATGAGTTATTGACATATGAATCGGTACTATATCGAACTGTTCGTGAAAACTTCTCCGAGCTGACTCAGCCTGACTACTGGTCAGTCGTCTCAACGGTGGTATACACGGCATTGACTACCCTGAAATCAGTGTTACTGTTACTTTGACATTGCTTTCGCTTTATAATGACTTTGCCGTCAACCTTTATTATCCCTGTTGACGTGGCTGGGTTTTTGTTACTTTTTCTCGGTTCATATACTTAATGCGTGACTCACTGCTATATCTGGTGTTAAAATTGGTCCTAATCGAGGTCAATCAGTGTGGATATCGTCAGAATCTTGAAGTCTTGAAAATGGATCGCTGAAGTCTATAAGTGTATGCAAAAACGTGGTTGAAGGCGTGCAGAAGGAATGTATGCAAAAACGTGGTTGAAGACGTTGCAGAAGGAAGACCGCTGCAGAATAAATCGGGCAACTCCTTGTACGAGGGAACCCACCGACCAAGCACCCAAACTCAGTCGCCACGCCTGTGTTTGTCTTTGACAAAGGTGCTTGAGCGTATCGTGAGTGCGCTCTGTGATCCAGATGCCAATAGCTCTCCTTGCAAATACCCACAAAAAACTACTGGACTGTGTAGACCAAGTGGCATTTTATGAGACGCATAGATGTGTGGTGTGGTATACGGCCTGGACTACTATTTTGGGATTGATCCTGAGACATTTTGTAAAGCTTTGGATCACTTAGTTTCCTAACCGCGATGACAATGTGAAGATGATTTAGTGGTTTTGATGCTCGTCGCGATTTCGCAAACCTTGAAAGACAACATTGTGCATGTTCTGGTGGGCTAACCAATTCGTTTGCGGATCGGCCTTTCGCATGGAACGGGGCCGATAGACTCTCGTGCATAGTGAGCAATGCCACATACAGCTGCATGTGAATCCAGCTGAGAGCCAATCACACTGCTGTTCAGCTGCTCGTGTTTGAAAGGTCTACTGTTTAGTGACTAGTCGGGAGGTTGCGGGTTCGAAACACAATGCTGATGATTTTCACTAAGGATGAAACAGTTGTACGGTGCTTCCCGGCTTTTCAGCAAGGGATGGCCCCATTAACAGGACGAAATCTCCGTTGAGCAGCTTGTAAACAGTACAAACTCGAGAAACTATGACAGATGGGGGCAGAGAAGTCTGTTTGCCGTGTTACACAACAGTTCAACCTGTGCAGTGGAAATTGCACGCAGTCAGGATGCCTGTCCGAACTTGAACATTTCGAAAGAAGCCTTCAGGAGAAAAAGAGCCCAGTTTGTTCACTCAAACCCTGAAATGATGACCGTGTTGCATTCGCAATACTTTTTTATAGGCCTTATTATGCATGCTTAGAAGTCACAGTGTGGTTGATTTTCGCAAAGATGGAAGAGCGCACTGGTAAACTACTCCACAGCGACATTCGTACACGTCTGCCTGAGTGGAACCCGGAGGCTTCCAAAACAGGAGTACTGGCTTCTCGGTTATAAGCCATCATCTCAAACAGGGAGAAACTGCCTTTTCTGGATCCCCATAAACTACTTGTTATATTGCTGGATCCTGTTCATAGGTAGTACCTCAAAAGTGTCGAATACTGGCAGTTTTCTGAAACCAGTTTAATAATAGAAGACGGAATAGTTTTAACTCTAATTGACAGCCTGAGGCTTGGAGTGGTTAGCAAGCGCATTTCCCCCGACGGATTACTGAATCGATAGACAAAAGACAACGTTTTGGAAAATCTTGACCACGTATCCAAACGCGCACAACGTAAACGAAGCGATTGCATCCATGGACAAGAATCGAACTGTCCTAGTGAAAGGTTGTGGATCCAACTAAGAACCATCTCTTCGTGAAGCCCGCTATTCAGTACGTACTCTGATGGTACTGCCGTCCCCCCCATAACGATAGTTTAACAATCGAAGACGGAATAGTTTTAACTCTAATTGACAGCCTGAGGCTTGGAGTGGTTAGCAAGCGCATTTCCCCCGACGGATTACTGAATCGATAGACAAAAGACAACGTTTTGGAAAATCTTGACCACGTATCCAAACGCGCACAACGTAAACGAAGCGATTGCATCCATGGACAAGAATCGAACTGTCCTAGTGAAAGGTTGTGGATCCAACTAAGAACCATCTCTTCGTGAAGCCCGCTATTCAGTACGTACTCTGATGGTACTGCCGTCCCCCCCCCATAACGATGATCTATGGGTAACGAAAAAAATCGTTCACCTGTAGCATCCTTTCGGTGCCTAGCTGCCGTGCCACACGAAGGAGGCACGAGGACTGGGATACTGCCAGGTTGCCCAAGTCTAGACAGGGGAAGCCGAGAGGCAGAGGTCGGGTTCGAACCACGGACCTTCCGGTCAGTAAATTCGCTCTCCAACCACTAGGTCCAACTCGTCTGGCATTAAAATATACGCACCTCTTCTAATAAACATGCAATGGAAGACCAAGGTTTCGGAAGGGAAGAGTTCGACCACTCTTATTTTTACGCAGTAAACCCGTATCGACCGGCTCATCATAATGTGATTTCCATCGTCTGCAGAAACTGCTTATTCGAGGGACGGTCTCTCTCGGTCTACCTGGTCTGCAACCGTCAGTCTTCAGGCCTTGAAATTGTTCTTCTCAATGGGGCACGTTCACGTGTCTTTTAGACTATCGCAATGGTAGAAGCATCGTTCTAACTGATCGATTTCAGCCTTCTTTCACTAGAGCAGAATGAAAGGCATAGAGTCGTTCGTTCTCACTCATCATCACTCTTACCGTTTTACATGTCTTTTGTGTTACGGCGCCTAGTTAACTTTTGAACAGAGTTAGTTGCGGATCCTACCAGTGCGGTTCGCTCTTTGTGCCAATGTGTTTGGCGAACCATTGACTGAACCTCCACTTGTTAGATCCAAGCTCTTCAGTGAGAACGCTATTGTCCGTGCGTGTATGTAAAGGATATGGCAACAGTTTGACAAAAGTTGGTAAACGGATTTTTCAACTACGGCAGACTAGCCACGAAATATAAAGGCACCATTACAGGCGGCGTTTCGAAAACGGTTGTGTTCGACGACTTACAACAGTTACTTTTTAAAAAACGAGTCTCTCCTGATTCCTGTTGATGAAAATTCGAGGCCCATGAGCCCATGGATGACGTTAGGCACTTGCTTTTCGATACCCCGGATTCGACTGCTCCCAGGTGGCCTTCAGGCTGGCAGTTGTTTCGCGTATAAACCAGTGAATGCTACTTTCCTCTCATTATACACTGGACAATATCCGTGACCAGGTCCACTCGGTTTTGTATGTCTGATCGTGCATCCTGAATGGGTTGAATTCTAATGTTTTAATCAAGCTGGCTCGTGCGTGAAATTCGCGTGTCTTGAACAAATAAATCTTTGTAGTGAGGTTATATACCTGGTTTAGAGGGATAGCTACAAAAACAGGGGAGTAAACTACCCGACGCATAATACTGCAAAATAAACCAAGGGAGTCTCGGGCCCCGAGGAGGGACCCTCTCGGACAATGACTGGTTCTTGCTTCTCATGGGTGGTCATTATAGGCAACACCTACCTGTGATGATGAGACTAAGGCTTCATTCTAGAATCAGTTACCCAGACGAATATCTATTCACTTTCATCCGGTCGATATTTTAGTTTATCCGTCATTTTCTTGGTCAGGCATGAAGCTACTCTTCACACATTCCACATCAATGTGAGGTGCTTTGGGTCACAAGGTAAAATTCACGGATGTATTTTGACTTGACCGTTCTTTACCAAGAGTGTGCAGGCATGACTGTGGAACGACCGTGATTTCACTTACTAGGCCACGTGACTCATAGTCTGTTCAATGCTCTAAACTGAAAGTTTAGCTGTTTAACTACGAACCATTCTGCTTGTTTTTGAGCGTGTCCCCAGTGGAATGGTGTTGTAACGTTACTCAGTTTCTCCAACCCAGTTTTGTTCGAAACTTTGTACACTCTGTGGGTTAGTATGTCTTACAGGTTATCAATCGGGTTACTGTCGAGAATTCACGTTCGCTATTTAGGTGAAGGGCTTGAATTGATTCATTGACCAGTCCGATCATCACGCCCTTCTATTATCAAGTATGCTAATGCCTAGATTTACTCAACAAAGCCTCGATATCCGACCGGCATGGCTAATGGACCCTTCAAGTCAGCCGAAAAGACATAAACTTCAGGTCTGTGTCTGCGTGTTAGGTTGTCAGTTGAACGTTTTGGCAAACCAAGCCAGACGGAAACAATTCTGAATATGGACCTCATATTCGAATCTGATCATATAAGGCTGAATCTTTTCTCATAGGAAATCACTAGCGCTGCCACTGGTGATGGAAAGAAATCTCATATCAACAGATCAGGCCTGGAGAAGTAGGTGAATAATTCAGAGTCAGTGAAAGTATGCTGGTTGAGGGTTTATTTCTGGCCGGTGCAGGTAAAGTACTAGCCGCGTTGGCTGAGCGGAGGGATGAGATGTGTGGACGAGCCGACAAGCTATCGTCTAATAAAAATTCGACCTCCTTTATGTGCGGATTTTGGACAGCCCATCTTGGAGTCGTGTTGTCATCTCGATTAAGGGCCTGAGTAAAGCCTGCTCAATCAAAAATTGATCTGGCAACTGCTTTGGAACCGCTTAAGAGCAGCTTCAGCCAGAACGTGATGCGCACATTCACTGAAGGTATTGTGAGAATGAATATTGAGAATTTCTCACTGCGGTCGCACTATTAAGCTGCGCTTTCGCTATTCCTTTCTGATCCTTTGGCCAATCATATTCCTGTATGGCTGAAGTTTGTCCCCTGATGGGACCTCCTATTTTTTGTGTGAAAATCCCTCCATTCCAATCGATAAAAGACACTCTGAATGGTGGCGTCGCGGATAGATACTAAGAATGGGATATGCGGAGGCGGAGAATGGAAAATATGACGTTCAACAATTAACCCAGAACAGCGGAGTCCCAACGGCACAACAATTGCATCCGAATTTGTGTAAAACTGCTCACAAAAGAGTGCATACAATGACACTGCAAGTTTGACCTTATTAAAAGAACTTTCAAGCACTTTCAAGGTCATGCCGCACAACCTCAGCACAAAGCACTTGGATAATTAGGCACTAATAAATCCCAATGTCTGTCACAAGCTTTAGTTTATGATGATCGGAAGTAATGTGTGAATAGTAGCTCCATACCTCACCATGACATCGATTGATCCACTGAACCCGAATAAGATACCCACTCCTCTAATTTGGTGATTACTGCGAGCTTTCCCCTATAATGATTGCCATTGGGAAACAGGAACCAGTCCTCGTCCGAAAGGGTCCCAATAGAGGGGCAACGATTTTTAAACGATGTGGGTGATCTCCGTAGGATATTGCATATTTTTTGTGCCGATAATTTAGTCATCAGTTTCGTCACAGTAAAGACTGACATTTCATTTAGAGCGATGTTACAGGATGACCATCTTCCCTCAACTAGATATTGTTCAAGTGTCTACAATATAAAGCCATTTTACGACCTGAAGTTGTGTTTTTTCCGAAGCATTGTGATGTGGAGGTCGTGAGGTAGTATATTCAAATCTTTCGTCGGGATCATCTCACATCTTTATCGTACCACTTTTTGTCAGGTTTTTAAGTGACGTCAATTTCAGTTATACTTTTTCCAATAGGGTATGTCACTTGCTGACCCAGAAACATTTCGTTTCACGCATTGTATGTGGACCAGCAACAATAAACAGGAGTGACTCTATCACTCTGTCGTCGATGTATCTTTAAACAGGGAAGTTTCGCACGCTAGATAATTCTTCCGAGTCCCACTTGCTTTTGCCACAGTTGGCAGTGTTTTTTGTTCTGTTTCTGTTATCGATTCAGCTAGTTGCTTCTAGGTGGAGGCTACTGACCGATATCTGGTTAGAAGCTCCACCTGGACTATCGATTTGTTGGAAGACTCAAAGTGCTGTCCGTTGACTATGCCACTGATACGCCTGGAGCACGTGAATTGGCATCCTAAGACGCGATCATCTGACTGAAGTAAACTGCGGTAGTTGCGTATGGATGCCTTTGCACGAAGCCCTCATACACGTTTTGTCTGCGTTTCTTAAGGGCAACCCATGACGTAAAGCTCCGTGTCTTTGGTACTGGATCACTTTCCCCCTTCGATTTCAGTCAAGCGCATCAGGGACCACATCATAACACCACCTATATTTTGTAGATTAAGTTGTCAGCATACTGCTAGGCTCAGTGTCCACTTATTATTAACTGAAAATGATTTATATCTTATCGTTTTTGTTTCAGTAGGGATGCCTAGACCCCGAAACGGGACACATCAATGGTTAGACACACTGTCAGACATGGCCTTGTCGCGTCCTCACTTGTGCCGGTACATCTAAGCTATCCCCTTCAATGCGTAGCTCCCTTCCCAATCCATCCAATTAAAAGTCCACTAACAGACCTGTACTTACGCACCAATTTATCGGCTCCCACCTCCAATGCGCAGTTATCTTCCTCACCTCAAATCGTCGGTGGACGAAACTGCCAGCTATAACCACCGTACGACAAGTACGCGGTCCTTGCATCTGATGATGATGGTGATGCATCGTTCTGATAAAAAGTGAATGATGCTACTCACAATTCTGTAATTGTTTTAGGCGCAGGTTTTCCACACAGCTTCTATTGAATAGTTTTCATCTCTACAGTTGCGTTCGAGTAGTCTGGTTGGCCTCAGATTTTCATTGAATAATATTCAGTACAATGAAGTGAATTTTCGAAAATGAACTCCACCAGTGCTTGCCGAACTTTGCGAACTATTCAAGCCTCACATACGTTGTTACTCATTTAGACAGGCTTCCCCAACAATTGCTTATTACTGGGTATCCAGTTAGGAATTCTACCCTGGGTATACACATGGTTTAACGTGGTCTTCGAGGATATACTCTCTCATTTGATTCGAAGCCGCCGATTTATAGCCCTGCAGTTTTCCTATGTGGTTGGAACTATTCGCGCAATCATAGCCATTGAGTTATCGCCTATGAAAGTGCCTCAGGGTTCGTAGTTCTGTCATCCGGTGGTTGGATCACATAAGTGGAGATGTCTCGGTCTTAGACATCCAACACAAGTGCTACTCATCGTTAGTAGGCCCTTGCAGTCAGCTTTCAAATACCTTGACTACCTTCCAGGCGCCTGTGTTGAATGCAAGCATTTTTTACTGTTTTTCTTGGAATCTTGAGGGCTTCTACTCCTTAAGTATAGGTATTGTTTACCTGCACGATCGTTAGCTGCTTTGCCCTGGCTCACGAACCAAATCTGAGAAAATAGTGGACCCAAATAGTCGACAGTAGAACAGCCGTATACTCAATGGTTTTAAACACTTGTTTGAGCCGCCCTCTTTCAAGAACTTACCGTTTCCATAAAGGAAACTACTCACAAGATTGCTGAAAACTCTTCGACAGCCCACGACCCGTTTCGCCCTTCTGTTTTGGGCGCAGTCCCCGAGTTCCCGTCAACCTTATGTTCTACTTGAACCCCAATTGCACTGTTTTTTAGAAATACACTCATTTGCAAATCAATTTGGTTTTCACGAGAGACTCAACTGAATCTCTCGTTTACGATATTCTACAACTGAAAGTGTTGCACACAGGCCGCCTCATGTTTCAGTTGGCACGATATTCGAGATATCGCAGTATATTTTCATAAGGGAAACTACTCACAAAGTTGCTTAAAACTCTTCGACAGCCCACGACCGGTTTCGCCCTTCTTGAGGCTCATCTTCGTAGATCCCACAGCCTAAGCTTTTCTGGTGGATCGGTTCTCCTCGCTTTAGTCACGCAAAGCTGTTTGGAAAATGCTTTAGCGGTTCTGTCCACTATTCTTTCGGGCATACCTTTGTGTGGACAGTTACAGGGAAGTTTTCGATGCCTTTTTTCTCATCTCATCTATGAAAATCAGCTATGCGGTCCAGGAGATGCAACGACTCCTGTTTCGAGCGGTAACTAACTTGACCAAGACATATCATTACTTGGATTTGCTCAAGTTCAGGAACCACTTTTTAGATATCATTCCTTTTTTACTAACCATTGGCCTTTCAATAGTCCAGCAATCGGTAGATTTTCTCTTAGTGGTCGTTCCATTTTTCTTGGAGTACCTGTTGGTTACCAAACAACGAACTTGAAATTTACCTGGATGTTTGTAGTAAAAATGTGTTAGGATCCCGAAAACAGCCCCACGGACTATGGTTCCTTAAAGGGACTCATCAGATGGACTTGGGATTTCTTAACTATTCAGATAAAACGACGTGACTGCTTGCTAGCAGTCAACTTACCTAAGCAAGTTAAGCTTACTCAACCAACATTATCCCTATAATTGGTCAATAACTACAAAGACTGGTCGAAGAACAACAGCCTAAACTGGTTTACCAAGCAGGTACGCGACCAGTCCCTCTACGCTTATCTGATGAATCCGAAAAAGAACAAGGGGTGACTTTTGGAGATCCTATTCCATCTTCATCTTAAGGTATTGTAATTTGAAAGCTTTCATTCATTCATTGAAGTGGATACCAGGGATCGCTGTCTTTTGCTTGACAGCCTCAGAATTGCCTGAGGTTTTCGGGTTTAGCCGGCACATAACCAACTGCTAAGGGTCGGGTTCGACCGAAGTCCTCGCCTTGATGAACTGAGAGAATAGAGTGGTTCTGGCCAAATGGTTCTAGCCGGTTTCGATGGAGAAGATTCGCTCTTGGAGGAAGCGGCCTTACACAGATGAAAGAAAGAATGTCCCCTGTGTATACCGGATTTAATTGGCGATATCTGTGCCAGAATTTTGATCCATGATCAGCCAGTTTAACCTCCACTTACTGAATATGTGAGCGGCGCCCTGGCGAAGGGCCCTGTATGACATCACGATCGGTTGCAATGGCAGCCTGGATATGGTCAGTATGTTCTAGATCGACTGACTAGGCGCACTAAAATAGTCTTACCAACGTTACTTAACGACATCATAGCACACCGTTTGTTCTATAATTGCAACAACGCAATAGCCGAGCAAATGACGGTGTCATTTCGTACACACCTGTTTTATTTTGTCTTGGCGAGCTGCTAATCTCGACTGAAAAACCACGGACGATTTGCAATCACCAACCCATCACTACGCTCTCTAAAAACGCACTAGTGATGTCACCTCGATTGGCGATGAAACTTTTGCAATCAAATTAGCCAGCTCAGCGAACAAACCAACGACCACGATGTGCAGTTTTGGCCTGTTGGTTAGAATCTATTTTTCTTTGGTCCCTTATCAGGGGCGAGATGACCCAAGTAGTTGGAGCGCGAATTTACTGACCGGAAGTTCCGTGGTTTGAACCCGACCTCTGCCTTTCGACTTCCCCTATCTAGGCTTGGGCGACCTGACAGTATCCCATCCCTCGTGCTTCCTTCTGGTAGCATGGCAACTAGACACCGGAAGGGTCTTACAGCTGATACGTAGCATGGCAGCTAGACACCGGAAGGGTCTTACAGCTGAACCATTTTCGATCCTTTATCAAGGCTTCAAGAGTCATGTCTGTGAATGCCGTCAGTTTACCGTGCCCACCGAAATCGCCATCTCTCTTTGTAACCAGTCAGCAGTCGCTTATCGGTTTGCTCCTAGGGTAGTAATCAGTTTGGAAATTTGTCAGCCTCTAGGTTCGCTGTGCTGTAACTAGAATCTGCTTTATTCCGCTAATACGTTAGTAAGCGAGCCGTTAATTATGTAGTTAGGAGGTAGGGTGTGGCTCAACACCATACGGACAACTTGTTCGAGCAGAAAGACGGCAAAGCATAAGTCGGGACAGTTGACCTCTGTTTGACAATAATGGCCGAATATCACATGACCCACGTTCTCAGACAGCCAACTTAAAGACAGCTCTTAATCCTAGGGATCCTTACAGGTCCAACATTATAGCGTTTAAATCGGTGTGGGGTCGATTGCCTTCGTGTTATCTACCATTGTACATACACTAACACACCTAGTCTATACGCTCACACGAAACCTCCTGTAGCACGCAGATATCCAGTATGCATCGAACAGATCGACTTTTTTTAATCTCTTGTGCTTTGCTGTGTTCAAATTTTGCTATAATCATTTCCATTTGAGTGCTAATTTTCTATGCTCTTGAGATTTTAAGAGGTCAGTCAATAACGCTTTCTAGAATAGAATGGTTCCATAAGGGAAGTCTGGTAACCCGCATATGAGAAGCATGTTTTTTGGACTCAAACGAAAAATGCGCAGTTGAACCATGCACAAACGAAGACCATTTATCAAGTTTCTGATCAGTAAATCCACCAGTAGTTGGCTTATCAAGATCATATACGACGTGGTTGTGCAGTACATGCTTCATCTAACTGTGACCATGCCTAATCTCACCGTTCGCCCGAATTTCATAGCAGTACCCCTCTATGGCGAGTACCACTTTGTAGGTATCCCATGCGGTTAATCCTCGTTTCCTGTCGAAATCCTATAAAGTGGGTCCTAACGGAAATAAAGTCGTAATCCCATCCGTTCTGTAGCCTGCAGTCGTAGGTGCACGTCAGTTTCAAACCTCCATCAGCATTAAACAAATTCGTCAGTGTTCTCCGTGGAGGGTGTTTACTTTATCTGCCTACTATTAGTTTCCCGACCGATTTCGTCAGAAGTTTGACGGCGACCACTGGAATTTGGACGCTAAGATAATATTAGGCCGGTGAGTCGTAGAGATTTGAATGTGAATAGATGCACCTCGAAGCAGACGCGATGCCTTAGGCACCGACAGGGGCAGTCAGGTTTGGGTGAGAACCACAGGTCTTCTGTTTTTTTCGTATCTTAGCCTCGAAGCCATCCTCGGAAGTCAGATGAGTTTGATGGCCCAAGTGAATTTGAAATTTTGAACTGAGACACCCGACAGAGCCCTGTTGTTTCACCACTACAGATGCTCCCATGAGGCTAATATGTGTCTGTGGAGCAATTGTATATAGCCCAACGAGTTATTGATTGGAAGCATCGCTCAACATTCTTGCACATATAAGCGGGTTCGATGCGGTACGCCTTTTTAACATTCAGCGAATGACAGTTACTGCCTGCAGTCCCGTAAACTGTCGAGCACTACTGCATAGCCGATGTTATTTTCGGACTGTCTTCCATCCGGAACGTTCTACTTTTGATTAGTGAACCAAGGTTAAGAAACCCCTGGTCACATCAGAGCGGGCCTTCTGTGGGACGACTACTGTGTTATATTTGGTTTTTCGTTGTTCGTAACGGTTTTGTTGTGTCGTTTTCCTGCCACTGTCTTCATTCGATGAGCACATCTTTTTGAGGTCTCCCGACAACGTGCTCTCCACACGTCCCATCTGCACCCAACCCCCTTCAACTAGATATATCATCTTTCAATTGCACAGTTCTTCCACAGAGCGTTGTTTGAACTGAATACTGACGCGGCTGCTGGAACGGTTTCACTCAGACGGTACAACCAAATACAACATCCCCACCCATGTCTAGTTGAGCCAACAATATGTTATAACACCAGTCAAGTACTTGATGCTTCGTGAAAAACCCCGTTCAGCGTGCACCTCTTCTAGACTAGATCTCTCATGGCTCTGATCTACAAAGCAATCATTCTCAGTTATGCTCTGGTGCTTAACGTGCAAAAAATTGACCGTCGGTTGAATAGCGTTTCTTTTGTAGAACTCTGATCAAAGTTACGTCGTAGAAAGTTGTGTCGACATGTATGGCGGTAACTAGGATGTGATCGATTCAGCAGGGCGATTTTACTACATTACATCTCAATTATCATCGATTGCCTGATCGTGCAAGAAGTCAGCAAATCTAGTTAGAGAGTACAATCTTTTTGGCTGACTAATTTAGGATTCATTAGGCGTGGTTGAGAGTAACCGCAACGAATTCAGTGTGAATGTAGTCAGACTGTTTGGGTGGTATGTCTCATGATCTTTAGAGTAATATTTGGAGGGGAAGGTGTTTCAAAGCGGGAGTTCACCGAGTAACGCTGCGATCTTCTTAGGCGACCTCCACCAAAGCCACATGGATAAGAAAATGTTACAGTTAGTGTCAACACTGAAATAGTTGACATCCACGTTCTGCTTTGTCCGTACATTTCATGCGTGAACATGCGGGCTGTGTTGAGGCAAAAGGATGATCCTGTTTTGATACCGCTGATCAGTCCACTCTACGCGATAGAGGGCTTACACATACGGTTTGATTGGCTGTTGATCAGGTGACGGTTGATCTGTTCGCCGAGCCTAGCAATTGTTTTGGAAATGTTTCATCACCGTGCGACGAGACATCGTCAGTACGCAGTTGAGTAGGTTGGATTGAGCATTCTAAGCTCGCTTCGGTTTGTTCAGTCAGTGCTCTGTGGTTCTACGTCACAGCATGGGTTCCATTACCAAGTCTTTTTCGAGCTTTTACGTAGAGAACGTGGCAGTGTTTTGTGTCCAAGCTCTACGTATATGCACTTGCCCACTAGCTTTGTACCATATTTTCTAGACACAACTGGTTCGTTTAACTAGAGGCACAAGATCTTTCGAATGTGCTAAGAGCCTTTCAGTTATATTGTGCAGCCAAATTAGGATGCGGGTAGTTAATTCCGACAACGCAGTGCTAAATATTCAACCGTATATTTCCTAAGCGGTATCCGTACTGTAGCTTATATGTTCTTGCTTAATCTGGTGTTCCTTGCCTGCCTAACTGGGCGCAATTTCAGCGTACTTTAGAGCTTCGTCTGAGAAAAACCTGTTTACTTTATCAACGATTTTACCGTTGCTCGTTTGACGATGAGCACGAGCAACAATTCAGATCAGAATGGGTCGGCTGCTGATATGCGGATGAATTCGAACTTTATGGATTGCCAGCATACACTTGGGAACTTAGCAAATCAGCTGAATGTTATCTACTTCCTAGGTATCATTTTGAAGGAAACACAATTGCGCAGTCCGTTGAGATTGCTCAGTGGGTCATCTTTCGCCACCTAGGTTAACTGTCGGGACGAGATAGCTCAGTGGTTAGAGCACGAATTTACTGACTGGGAGGTCCCTGGTTCGAATTCGACCTCTTCATCTGGTCTTATCTTGTCTAGGCTTGTGAAACCTGGCAGTAGTCTAGCTTCCTTCAAGTGGCATCGCAGCTAGACACCGGAAGGGTGTTACAGCTGAACGATCATCCTTTCATTATCTTCTTAGGTCAACCTTTTTCATGTGTATACCCCACTAAGGACGCTACGGGCATCTAAATAACCCATAATTTGATCCAGCCGATCGTAAAGCACTTTCACATGATCCGCTAAATGCCGTCTATCTCTTGCTTCATCAGCATTAATTAATAGCCGATCGTAATACATCTTTCGACGTTTTCTTGGCTGCGTGCGTCTGGTACGGCTCTCCGAGAAAATTCGGTGTGTAGCGTTGCTTCTCGAAGTTGGGTAATGGGTTGGAAATGAGTTTGTATTAATTTGTGCCGTCTCAAAGCGAGTTTTAAAAATCACAGTCTCTAAAATACGCCGTAATTCAACGAGAAAACTTTTATGATCACTACAGGCTATATGACTTCAAGCAAATTCACCCTTACCTATAGCAATTCTGCAATTTGTTTGTGCTCCAATTTTGTGAAGTCAGATTGTATGTTTGAAGAACATCATAAACGAGGGACTCAGTTGAGTCTCCCGTGACAAGTTCGTACGTATGCAAATGAGTGAATTAATTTTGTGAAGTCAGATTGTATGTTTGAAGAACATCATAAACGAGGGACTCAGTTGAGTCTCCCGTGAGAATCAAGTTCGTATGCAAATGAGTGAATTTGTCAATTTTTAGAATTAGTATCGGGTACGTTACGCGTGAGACCAGATTAGAGCATCAAACATAACGTAAATCGATCGACTCATCTCCGTTCACTGAGTGTATGGCTAAACCTGAATATATGGGCTGGTAGTCTGCTAATCCCGATCTATGAGGGAACTGTTCTATTCGAACTTGGTGACTGGATTGATCTTAGCACTTTTGCCTTTATTCCGTTTCACTGAGTTTCTCATTCTCATTTTAGCATTATGGATTCATCAGGTGGTTGACTTGGAGAAGATTTCAGACCATGTTTACTGTCTTAAGGGTTTTCGTTTTTCCTGTAAGTCTGGGAAGCAAAATCGAAGAACTCAGCTAAAAGTCTTCAGTTCAGGTGGGCGATACCTTCTGGAAATAATGCTCTACAAGTTTTTTGTTCTAAGAAGATGGATAAATTATCCCCCAGTGGCTTCTGTTTTAAGTGGAATTCTGCGTTATAGACCATGATTCCCTTGTTTCCACGGTAACTTTCTCTAAAGGGCAGCAAACATTAACAACAGATGTAGCGAACTGTCTTCCGGCCTTTGTGTACGTTCTTCAAGCTACAGTCACTCTGATGAAACCGGAATGGTTTGTTTACAAGGAAATTTAGAAAAGGCGACAGATTTCCTCACGAACTTGCCTCAGGAACGACAAGTGCATAAAGTCTCAAAAGATTCATACAACTCTACTCTGTAAAATGATCCATTCACATTGTTCCACAAAGACCCATTAGTACCTTTCAGGTGATTTTTCCAGGTTCCACTACGCTTCCTAACCACTTGTGGTACCAAGTTTGATAGGCTGGCATGGATTAGCAAACAATGTATTGTAATATTGCAAACTCGGGTGAATTACTTTGTTGTCTATCAGGTGACCGTTTATATTGGCAACTGGCTCGTAAACATCTGTTCACCATACGAGAAGAAATCATCATGGTACAGTGTTGATGCCCAGTCCTATGGAAATATTTGAAATATTCGCAAGCTAGCTGCCAAGCTCGGTGAACAGATCAACGGTCAGCTGATCGACAACTGCCAGAATTTTAATACATTGTCAATCCATGACAGTCTCTCAAACGTGGTACCACAAGTGGTTAGGAAGTGTAGTGGAACCTTGGAAAGTCCTCGGTGTTATATTCGTATGTGTTCAGACAAGGACTGGATAACATGCTGCCGTGTTCGAACCACAAGTTTTGTACTCTCACAGCGCCAACTCTGCTGGTTGAAAAACGAGAAAGCTGTTCAAATGATGGCGTTGCCGTCATCGAGAGGCTTCCACGGAGGCACAGTGGCATACTATTACCATTCTGTTTTCTGTCTGTTACATCACATGGGTGCTCCAATGGTCTTCACGTCTCCTTCCGAGTGCCACAATTTGGAACCGGAATTCCGCTCACGGAGGACGTAGTCAGCGTACCCATTCACCAGGTATAACTGAAGATTTCTGGAGTTTGGGCTAGTGTCATAAACTAGGGTTGTGTGGCCCTCAAAGCTTTATTGATTTACTCATAGTCACACCACTCTCATTTGAACGGTCGTCTTCCTGTTCTGGCTTAATTATTCCAGTGAGTTTACACCAAAGGGAAGCACTGGACTCGAGTTTCGCTCTTTTCAGCAGCGCCCATCAGCAGTGCATAAAAACTCGTTCGGCTGTAGCACCCTTTGGGTGCCTAACTGCCATGCCATACGAAGGTTGCACCTGGCTGGGATACTGCCAGGTTGCCCAAGCCTAGACAGGGGAAGTCGAGAGGCGGGGATCGGTTTCGAACCATGGACCTTTCGGTCAGTAAATTCGCGTTCTAACCATTTGAGCCATCTCGCCCTATGGCCGTGCCGAGATTTGAACCCCGGACGTCCGACATGCGAGGCGAGCGTGTAACCACTACTCCACTAATACACGTTGGACGCTTCCGAACTTTCACGTCTGAATAGGCGAACGTGTTCACGAGTGAGCGATGTGATTGGTGTGCCCGACTCATCGAACGACGACCCAGTAACTGTCCTGCTTGTGACGATCGATTGACCCGCCAGCCAGGACTTCCCAGTCAGGTTGATTTAGTCGAAGCCTAGTTGACTATCTGACCGGAGTCCTATTGGAGCGACAGTGAGAAAAGCAAGCAAAAATTCAGGAACACTTGTCGAGTGAGAAGTCCAAATAAACGAAAATGTGCCCGTTAGTATACTCAGGTGATCACTTCGAAGAAAAAAGCACCACACCTGAAATTTGGGTAACTGTCCATCGTTGGAGTTTCTCCGTTTTCCCACTATTTCCCGTTCTTGTAGTAAAGTTGGTGTAGTTACTTTTATAGTCTTACAAGAAATGAACATCCTACACCAGGACATGACAACTATAATCATCCTAGACGCTACTCTCACATTCCATGTTGTTACTATCGATACACATATTTCCGTTACTATGTCTGTCCTAATCTAGTAAACATTATTTTTTCTATTCTTGATATTCACCCAGCTCGCAAAAGTGAATTCAATGCGGATAATTCGCTTGGAGATTGGGGTCTTTCTACACACACTTGTTGAGCATATCACCTATGTAACACAAGGCACCCTTGCTACTCAGGCCAACAACCAAACCAAGCATCTTGCTGTTCAACACACGATGGCTTATTCTGGCCATGACTCGGATCTGGTTCCATTTTTGGCGGCAATGGGCGTGTACGATGGAGGACTGGTAGCCTACTCCTCATGTGCAGTGGTAGAGTTGCTTGGACCACCACCACCTGCACCGATCGAAGCCTACTATCTTCGCCTTCTCTATAAGCGTGGCTGGGAAGACCGTGATGGAGAATATCTACAGTTTGGAAGAGTCGAAAAGTGCAAAGGTAGACCTGGAATCGATGGTTGCCGATTGGATTGGGTACTGGAAAGTATCAAACCGCTGCTTTTAGACCCGAATCTATACGAAAGCGAATGTGTAATGATGGATTACGGTGCAGTTGATCGTTTGATGGGGCTATTTAGAAGGATGTCCGCTTCCACCATGGTTCTGTTCACATTCGCCATACTCCTTATCGCTTCTTTTTCGGTAATCATTCTGGGTCTACTTGCCTGGCGCACCTATCGGTCCCGCAACATGCAGTCAGATATGATCAGCTTTGCGCGCCTCCAACCGACCGCTTAGCTTCGCTCAAAACGCCTTCTCACTGTTTGTGCTTCAGACGTTTGGATACATTTCGGAGCGGTGGGCTTTAGCTTCGGATGATTAATTCCCCTCATTTTCTCCATTTGTTCGGAAAAGTTTCAAACTGTTTTGCGTATGTCGCGTTTGGTGTTGTTCTGCTGTATTTTGATTCATACCCTCCCGGTCTCCCCGCCCTGCCCCAAATTTTCTAAGAGTTTTCTCTTTGCGAATATTTTGTTTTTCTCGTGTACATATGCGACTGTACTCTGTTCTATTTGGCAGCTGTGGGTGTCGGTATCGGATGATGTTTTATTTCAACCGGGAAAGAAAATTATTGCTCAGCAATAAATCTACCGATTGTGTTGCAAAATTTCCTGAGACGGAACTATCAAAAGAGCTTAGAGGATAGACAGAAAGGAACAGTAGCTATGTTGCAGCCTCGGGGGTAAAAGGGTGTTGTTCTTGCTCTGTATGCATTACGGAAAAAAACCGTTCGGCTATAGCATCCTTTCGGTGCCTAGCTGCCATGCCACCCGAAAGAAGCACGGAGGTTGGGATACTGCCAGGTTGCCCGAGGGTAGACAGGGGAAGTCGAGAGGCAGAGGTCGGGTTCGACCCAAGGACCTTCCGGTCAGTAAACTTGCTCTCTTACGATGAAATGCGGACCTCGCTTCACGCTTTCAGTCTTCAAGTCGATCAATACGAATGACTAATTTATTAGTACTGGGCTCTGTAGCCCTATCACCATAACGGAAGGCAGAAGTTTACTGTGAATGATCTTAACCCTCTTTTCTTGTCCCTCGTAAGACAAGGGAAATTTCCGCAACTAACGCAAGGTCATCTGAAACTAAGGGGGCCTCTTGTTCGCTGTACGAGTGGTATCGACATCATTACAACGTTTGGTTAACCGAAATATCAAGACCACTCATCTGCCACTGGTATAAAACTTTTAGTGTCATTTTTGAGCTCAGTTTACCGTTCCCCTTAGTTGACCTCACATGCAACCCCAAGTTCAGTCCATAAAAGGAAAACAATAGTGAAAAGGAGCACATCATGAAATTCACTATGTTGCATTTGGACATTATGACTTGAACAAGTCAGCCTCAGTGGAGTAGAGGGAACAAACTAACGATCAATTGACTGATTTTGAAGCTCCATGTATCGGACATATAAAATTTCCTATTCTGAATAGTGCTGTTGGCAGCCAGAAAACAATCTAGCACTATTGTGTGAAGTGGTCTCATCTTCAGCAAATTTGAATGCTGCCAAGCGCGTTTTTTTATCTCAAAGTGTATTCGATTGACGCTGTCCATCTGTATCTGACCAGAAAGTGTGTCCGGATTTCTCCCACTCAGAAACGCACACAAATTTGAAGTTTTTTGGCAACGCATGTATTCTGTACTTCAATTCCCCACCTGTTGGTGCCACATTGGCGGGGGCCTGCTTCGTGGCAGCCAAAGAACCTTCGATTTCCTGGGTGTGTAGTCGAATCGCTAGGTGGCTGGCAGTGATAGAAGTGAATGACTTACAGTAAAGCCGCTGTAGAGGATGGAAAGTCTGTCTGTTAGTTAAAATTCATTCAAGGCAACCAACTTTCTCCGTTATGTGGCGAAAAAACCCATGTGTGCACAAAATTTGGGTGTCTCGTGACGGATGATAATAACCACGGCATTTGTGAGTAATTTGTGTAATCTGACCGCTTCAGATAGGTTTTGTGGCACTTGTTACGCAATTCGAAATGCGGTGTTCCAATTAGCGACATGCCAACTTGGTGGGCCAAAGCGGAATTCTAAGTTTTTTTCTCGCATGAGTCTCTAGTCCGTTTACACATCTCCGCACCAAATTCACATTTTACTGAACCATCGAAAGGGGGAACGCTGACAGTTTATCTTTGTTTTGCAGGCATAAAGGTGATGAATAGCTGCACCGTAGTTTAGCTATCTTGGACTTGGGTCTTATCTTTGTTGAAAGACTTCCGGTAACGTGCCGAATATCTAGATGCTTTCACTATGTGTTGATCTGTATATGATCTCTACCGAAAAAAGGACCAATAACTGAAAGCATGTCGTCCTCTTAGTGCTTCCTTTTCCAATAACGCTTTTGAAATCTTTCGACATCTGGCTTTAAGCCACGCACGACTGAAAATGTTCCCGAATTAGTGCTTGTTCATGAGTGGCGAGTTCACAAGAGCGAAGCATCGTACATGTCACTCACCTATACTGTTATTAATTTGGGACAGGACGAATGTAAAACGGGGCATACTGTGCAAAATTCACCCTGCAGATGAGCAGTCAAACATTTACAGTAACAAGCAATCTCTGGCTGTCATTAGCCTGCTCACTCATGATTCATGCGACATAAAGACGAGAACGCTGCGCACAAACCATACATCCGAGTGAGGCAAAATTTGGAGTGCTTGCTCAAAACTAGATTCGGTACGGTCACGAAACCCCAAGCACCTAACTTCAGAAAAGGTTTAGTAGAGGTACCTTTCCCTCGGAGAGTTTCCAGTTCAAAGTTTTAACGATGTGAATCACCAATGGAACTTAAGCAAAACAAGACCGACCCATTACACCACTCACGAGGTTGCCTAAAGACATCCTAAGCGAGCGATCCAGCTGGATTCTAGCTGAGCCACGCTAGCTGCTTTCACGCTCAATTTTAGCGCGCTAACTTACATATTTTTACGTTGAATTAATCATCCATGGATGTTAACGAGTAGGACATAGCCAGCGAAATCACTCACTTCGTTACACTGCCGCCCCCATTACTTGTTGCGGGCCGTTATTTCGAAGGTCTACAAGGTCAACCGAGCTGTTGGCATACTGAACAGATCGGATAAACAGGGCGAACGAAATTTCTGGAAGCCCCATTACTTGTTGCGGGCCGTTATTTCGGAGGTCTACAAGGTCAAACGAGCTGTTGGCATACTGAACAGGTCGGATAAACAGGCAAACGAAATTTCTGGAAAAGATTACAACTAACGTGTACAACACAATCGAGTGGGGGAATCTCACAATCACCATTTTTGTTCGAACAACCTTTCTCCACTCCTGGCACAGTTTATCTGATTGGTCCACGCCGGATTTGGGTAGAAATGTTCTGACCGTTCTAGGATGATCGTTGATTATTCTTTGAGGCTGACGTGACGAATTTGAGGTATTCTGAAATGGCTCAAAATATTTTGATGAAAAATATGGTGCTTTTAATATTTCCCATGAAACATTTAAGTTTACTGCCATGAAACTGCAAATGACAAGTCTGTTTAACTAGTGTTTTTGAAATGACAAGTCTATTTAACTAATGTTTTTGGAGGCGCTTGCACTTTTAAAGGGAAGTTTCCGTCCATCCAGTGTCTGGGTGATAGCCGGTGGTCGATGGTTCTTTTGGTAGGATTGAATTGGGTCATTCTAGCGTGGTAACCAAAGCGCACCGTTACTAAGCGAGCATACGGTTTGATCCAGCTCATTTGATCTATCTTTACCATATCCCTAAGACGAGCGGAAACGCATTTTGATTCACGGGACTACTTTTGTGTTTGAGCTACATAGGCATCGCGTTCCAATTTGTCAGCCCTGTAATACCGATTAGAGAGCAGCATCGATGGCTCACTGTGCGGCTGTACGCGCACCATTCGCAGGTGCGTATCCGAGTACGGCCATGAGAAAAAGTATGTTCAGGTTGAATTACCGGAGAGATATGTTAGTTGCGCGCAAACTGCGTCATTTTAGATACAAGTTTTCACTCGGGTATAAACAACCAGGCCAGAGATTTCGCACATACAATAGTGACACGGGAATATGGCTTTCACATTCACATCACTCTCGCTTGAATAGTGTCTTTCCTTACCTACACAATTATTCCGGTGAGTCCACACTGAAGGAGGACTCGAGCGTCGGTCTTACTTGAGCTCATCCGCAATGTACATCATTGACCGTGCTGTTAACTCCCGGCATCGGACATGCGACGCAAGCAGACTAACAATGTTCCACCAACGCACGCTAGACACACCTGAATTATCACTTCTGAACAGGTGGACGTATTTGCGCTTGACCGCTGTAGTTCGTGGGCCGGAAGCTTCGGACGACAACGAACTAGTTTGGCGGTAGCGCAGCTCGGTTGTTTTGTTGGTTGCTTCGTAGATCAACAGCCCAGTGATCAACAACGAATAAGACGTGGCTTAACAATGACACCGGCATATTGTCAGTCATGAATAAGGGGTGTTAATCGGAAGACTAACTTTGGCGGACAAAACGACCGCACGCTTATATGTGCTCGTTTGATTAAGCTGTGACTCGTAAATTGTATAGCCAGATCGCTGTCTTGTTGATGTGTATTAACAACGGCTACGAAAGCGTGCGCGCGTGCTCGACGGAAAGGAGGCATTCATGACCACAATCAAATCGCATAAGTAGGCTGAATGTGATTGCATTTTCACTGATGACTTCCTGGCCCGCAATAGCATTGGGAATCCGATGAGTACTATTTTTTGTCATCGTTACAACACTCCCGCTAAATCCCAGTCTATTAGCAAAGTCGCCGCATGATCAAGCCAGCTTCCAGAATGATAATCGGGACAGGTGAATGGGTTGTTTAATTGCATTCCAATCCCAAAGATCAAGGAAACCCGCGAGTTGATCGAGCAGAAGTAGGTATTCGAGGTGTTTGATTGATGATTCCTTTAGCTAGTTTAGCGTTAATAGCGTGAAAACTGAATTATGTAACTGAATTATGTATGTGTTCAACTGAGCCTATTGTCGTTCCTTTCTTGAAGCCCGTGGTCTAAACATCGTATCAGATGTTCGTGCATTCTATTGTTTCAACTCGAACCTTCAGAACCCCATTTGGATTCTAGTGGTTGGCTCGGCTCCCTTTGTTTACTTTCGTAAACGCTCCGTGTTCGTTTTCCATTCACCCATGGGCTGTACATGAATAGATGCCTGGGGTCGAAGGCAGCGGTAAAAACACAGAAACACACATCGAGTAAACTCCCCGCGAAGAGAGCACTTTTGCTGGCGTCACTGATAGTGCAGAGCCAAAGCGAGAATGCACTTTAGTGCGCTGTACTATCAAACTGATACCTTTCTTAAGGTTGCAAAATGTATCAGAGTACAAGCCAGGTAGAACCAGTAGACTGGAACACGTGTGAGCAAATTATGGTGTTGGGAAGCAGGAGTAGCGAACATATTTCATTTATGTTCTTGTAAATTCACCACAGGTGTGTACTGGTTATGAAAAACGGGATGGGATGGCAACTTACTAATAGAGGTTTGCTCCCTCCGGTGTCCTCGTTCAGCCACGCCTCATTTTAGGGGTCGCAATTCACAATTTATTTGTTATTTATTTATTACTCAAAATACACCCTAATGACAGGTATTCAA